GGGGGGTTGTAAAGCTCGATCTGATCGTTTTCGTCATGGTTCTTCCCCTCCAGCGCATGCGTGGGATCGACCAAGCTGGAGAGACGAAGTAGGGGGTGCTTGTCCCACTCGACTTCCTTGATGGGACTCTTCTATCAAGCCCGTGTTTGACTGTCAGGGTGGACCCCTGCTGTAGAAGAAGGTGGTCAGAGCTGGGGGTGGTGATAGGTGACAAATAGGTATAGTGGGTGCGCTTGCTCCGGCCTCCTACCTCCATTCACCAATGTCTGTTCGTCGTGTTCTTCTGGGTGTTGGATGGACGGCGTTTCCCTCTACTTTTTTTTTTTTCTTTGCCACTATGTCACTTTTTCCCTCTTGAATTACCATGTATGTGTGCAGTTGGAAGGGGGTTAGGTTGACTCGATTCGGAGAGACCACATTTGTTGTGTGATCTTCTGGCCGTGCCTCTTGTGCGGCGGCATGGAGGAGCGCGAGGACATTGTGTCGCCACGGAGCAAAAGGTGGCGTGACCTGCAATGCGTCGGCATATGCATTTGTAGAGTGCTACTCCCAGAATGCCAGGTAGGAAGGTGTGTTCGTTGCTCTGTAGAACGGAGCTTTGGCTGCATGTTGGCCAGCGAGAAATGTCTCTGTTCCTTTGCTTCGTCGGGTCTTCTTCTGTTCGTCTAGTTTGTAGACTGGTGGTGAATCTGGTTTCTGACTTGTGCAAGGCAACCTTGCTCTGCTTCGTGCGGTCATCAGAGCAGTTAGTTGATTGGCACACAGGTCCACTGTCTTGTGTCAGCCATCTGAAGTGTTCTGTAGGTTTGGCCCCATGCATGGGACAGGATGCACGCCCGTGTGCATGAATTAGGCTTCCTTTCTGTGCACCGCTGACGTCTACATTGACGGCAGTCAACAGCTTGTAGATATAAATTCTTAATGCCAATTGGCCTGTGTAACGTGTGTTTTATGGTTCTGTGTTCTCTGAATGCTACTTCGGAATCTTGTTCGGGGTAACCAACCGACCCTGCAAAAGCTAGCTGCCTGTGGCTGAGTCGCTTGAGGGCTCAACGTCGGCCTGCATGCCCATTTTTGGTTGGCATGTTTCTGCCTCTGTGTGGTGGCTGTTTGCTCAATGCCTCGATGTCAGACCGTCCTTGTGCCTGTGGTTGCTGGTCGGTTGGTTATCGGTCGTGGTGGGAATGAATCGGGTACGGAGCGGTCTTAGTATTTGCCTTGTATGCCTGTCAGAGCTGAACCGGTCAGCTAGCCTCTCTTCAGCTCGTAGTACTCTGTGTCTTGTTGTGCTTGTTTAGTCTCCTCTTGCATACAATGTTTTCCTTCCGGATGGAGGGACGCGTCATGCTCGCGTCGATGTGTTCCTACATGCCAAAGTGTGGGCGCTTTGAGGTGATTCGATCTGATCGATGCATGTCTTCCTGGGTGTCGAAGTGCGTGCGATCACTCATGTCGCAAGCAGATACGGGCACAGGTGTATGCCGCTGATTGACTGCCGATCGTGTTAGGGTCATTTCTTGATTGGTGACTTTCGAAAAAGGGGATGTTCTATATCCGAGACTTCCTCGGGAGGACGTGTTTGCGTATAGATGTGTCAGTTGACTCAGTTGTGGTGTTGTTTGTTGTACTCCTCTCTTTATGATGTCATGTCTTCCGTCTTTTGCTGCTCATAGGCGCGTGGGACTGACTGTCCATGCTAAATTGCTAGAGTCGTGAAGTGGAGGTAGAGGGGTGTAGTGCAATGGTATTTCAGTGTGCATATAGTGGTGGGGTGGGCTGACGGGGGTGGGGCGGAGAGGCTGTTAGAGGGGGGTAGCGGGGGGTTAGTGTGGAGGGGTTCAATGAACAATTAGTAGGTGTGTGGGGCCGCCTGTCCATGCGAAATTGCTAGTCCTCAAGTGAGTGTCTGGTGTGTTTGTGCAGTGGTATTTTGGTGTGCATATAGTTGGGGGGGGTGGTTACGGCGGAGGGGCTCGATGCATAATTAGTAGGTAGTGCAGGTCTGTTCTCTGGTGCAGCGGGGTGAAAGGGCATAGGCAACCTTGCAATTACTGTTAGTGAAATGGATCAGGGGAGAGCGGGAAGTGGGGTAAGAAGGGGGGGAGGAGGTGAGTGTGGGGCCGACGGGCAAGCGATGATACGATTTTTTGCATGTGAAAGACTGGATCCTGAAGAAGAAGAAGGTCATCCTTTCCCCCCCCCCCCCTTGGAGTAACGCCTTGTCTAGAGGTGTGGGAGTTTCCAGCTGTATGGACATGATTTGTGTGGTGCACGGTGCTGCTGCTTGTGCCGTTGGATTGATCATCATTGAATTGAATAATATATTATGGGAGTCGGATTTCACTTTAGTCCCCGTGTGATGTGGCAGGTGGGAAACTAAGGGCATACTCACACCAGGACCTATTTCTACTGAGCTCTGGAAGTGATCACAGTCAGATGCATCCAGGTCCGGCCGCTGTTGCGGCCAGATACATTTAGAAAAGCTCCAGTGTGAGTATGCCCTAAGCCTTGTCTACTGTGGCATCTGAGCCTGAACTCGAGCTTGTTCTTCTCCTAGGCTCCTCTGCTGAATTTCTTGGCCTGTTTTTTTTTTTTTTTTTTTTTGTTCCCTGCGATTGGGGCTGAAATTTGCTGAATGGTAAATTCGTAATTTACTGTCAATGCCGCCTGTAGATTTCTCTCTGCTTGTCGTGTGTCCGTGCGCCTCTTGGATGCCATTTGCGTTTTTGCCCTGCTCCACTCCATCCGAGATCCGCCCAAGTACACAAATCAAACAGTCAGCCAAGAAAGAAGGTTGTCACTGCTCTGGGGTATCAGGCATGAAGAGATGGAAAAAAAAAAAAAAAAAAAGAACGAGAAACGAGCTGATGCCGTGTTGTGAGATGGATGGGAATTCCTGATGTGGATGTGGGGGCAATCTCGGCGGACGTTATTAGGTGATCGATGATGATGTCGGCACGGGGGGGGGTCTTGTTGCTGGTTCTCCAGTTGGAATGACGATAACTCATTTCAAGCGTGCGGCAGTTGTCTTCTTGCATGTCTGGTGCAACTTGATCGATCGAAGACATATAGATTTTAAATCAATTACTTTTAACTGTATGTCACACAAATTCACAGTGCAAAAAAAGGGTCCAGAGTCTCAGACTTGGACATGCATGGCTTACCCTTGTATAGAGACCAAGGATGTTTATTTGTTTAATATTTATTGTCGCTACCTCGCTATGCGAGGATGGGGTAATTGGCACGCCAGCTGCTTTCCTTGGAGATGGCAGGCAGGCATATCATTCTCTCCCAGTGGGCCAGTGTTAATTCCCTGTCCATGGTGATGCTCTCGGCGTTGAAAAACGTTTTTCAAGGTTAATTCACCTGCTGATGTCCTTCGGAGGCTTTTAGTCACAGTGTTGATATCGTAACACTTGCATTCCAGAGTGGACTGGAGTGGAGGGCTTGTTATTATTCGCTTGCAGGTTTTGCCTGGAGAGTATTTAGGCCGTCGACCCTGGATTGGGATGTTGTCACTTGTCCTTCTTTCTGTACTCTTTACTGGTTGCAGCAAATCGTTACCTGGTGATCGCTTGTGTTGTAGGTCCGCTTCTGTGTGTGTGTGTGTGTGTGTGGCGATGTGTGTGTGTTGTCTGTTGTGTGTGGCGATGTGCGTGTGTTGTCTGTTGTGTGTGGCGATGTGTGTGCTCGTGTGTGTGTGTGTGTGTGTGTGTGTGTTGTGTTGTGTTGCACTGTGTGTGTGTGTGTGTGTGTGTGGGTGGGTGGGTGTAGGTGGGTGGGTATGTGCAAGTGTGTGCAAGTGTATGCAAGCAAGGATGCATATGGTCCCCAGTCACGAACGCAACAGAGGTGAGCTTCCATAGCAATAGACTTTTAGATATAACGCAGTAGTGCAGGCCCATGCTTGGAAAGATTTGAATTCTCGATCCCCAAATCCGTAGTTTTGGTGCTTTATTCACAAAACACGGCCAAAGGTGTCCCCTCTAATCGTAAGATTTAGAATGTGCATCCAGCTATGTCGAGAGAACATTCATTTACATTACTTGGATGGATCAATCCGAAGGGAAGTCCTGTGTTGATTTGATAAATATTAGCAGGAGGATCCCTTAGAGACTACGGAAAAAAAGTAAGCAGAGTGATTTCACGCGAGAGACGCCGCATGATCATATGCCTCGAAAAAGAACGAGAAGAGGATATAGGACCGCCAGATGTGAGGCAAAGAAGGCACCGGTAAATCAAAGGGCAGGCGGGTGCGCTTGTGGGCAGGCATGAAGGCCATCAGCAAAGCAAGTAGGCAGTGACCACCAGGTGGGCAGGTAGGGGGCGCAACAACAAGGCAAGGTAACAGCCAGGTGGGCAGGGAGGGAGCCCCGCAGCAAGGCAGCTGATCCAGCAAGAGAGAGAGAGAGAGAGAGAGAGAGAGAGAGAGAGAGAGAGAGAGAGTTTTGTTTTTCTTTTGTGATGTTTGTTCTTCATCTCATTTTGGTGCTGCTGTTGTTTCTTTCTCTGCAAGTTGTAGTGGAACACCATGGCATCTTTTTTTCTTTCTTTTTCCAGCAAACACCATGGCATCTTTTCTGTTTTTGATGATGAAGGGAGTAACCACTAGACTCCATGGTGTTTGGTGGCAAAAAAAGAAAAAAAGAATGGGCACCGGGTATATCAACGACCGTGGATGTTCAGGAAAAACTGTGTCGTCCGCCTGTCTGTCCGAAATCGACAGTTGCACAAGCATTCGCTCTTCTGGAGAACAAAGTGCATTTTTTGTTTTGTTTTGTTTTTGCTTTTTAAACCACCGCTTCCTCCTAGCCTCTTTTTGCAGAGGCGCAAGAGAACCGTGCACGAAGGTTGTAAGACTTTAATCTGGATTTTCTGGATAAACTCCCAGCTAAGTAATAAAAAAAAAACTGTAATTTTTTAAATCTCTAAACCTGTTTAGAATTTTGAAATCATTTCCAAGGCAATGGGTGGTTGTAATTTTGTGTCGGGATGCGGTAGGGGGTAGGTCTGGCTGGGAGGGGGGCCTTGCTTAGCCCGTTTGGCCGCAGTGAATGATGTAAGGAATGCGGGGCGTGTGTCCCGACTACATTTATATGAACATGAGAGTTATATTTTGTTTTGAAAAAAGAGAAAAAAGTTGTTGGCAACTTGGCATTATTATAACCGACAACATACTTTTCTTTTTCAGCTTTGTTGGAGAGTTTTTTTTTTTTTTTTTTTGTTTTGAAAAATAATAAAATAATAAAAAAATATCTTATTTTGTACCGCCGGATGTGCTTAATCCAGCTTCATCCAGCTATTTTTATTATTTGGCTTGCAGACAATGCAGAGTCAAAGTCAATGTATGCTTCATCCGTCCTGTGTTCTCTCTTCGGTATTTGCTCTTTCTTTCCATCTCTCTTCGGTATTTGCTTTTTCTTTCCAAACTACCGTCTTCCCCCGAACACAACGCACCCTAATTTTGGCTGCATGGGATCGGAAAGCTGGCTTGTATACATTCATAATCAGGGTGCGTTGTGTTCGGGGGAAGACGGTAGCATAGTTTCCAAACTAGCATAGTTTGGGAGAGAAAGAAAAAGGGAAACCTTGGGGAAACAGCGCAAATAGTGAAAGAGAGGACGCAGGACCTGCTTATAAATTATAAACAAAGGGAAAACAAGAGTACAGTTCGTAAGCAGAAAGTATTTGAGAGAAGAATATGGTTTAGTTATAAAAAAAAGAAAGAAGAAAAAAAGGAAAAGAGGAAACGTGGGAAGGCTTGTAGCGAAGGGAACACAGGACCTGTTTAAAGTCAAAGGGAAATCGGATCACAAACAGTACAGTGTGTAAGCAGAATAATATGGTGTAGGTAAAAAAAAAAAGAAAAAGAAAAGGAAAGGGGAAACTTGGGAAGTCTAGTAGTGAAGGAACAGCGGACCTGTTTAAAGTCAAAGGGAAATCGAATCGCAATCAGAAAGACGGGAACTGTAATGGAATCGAAGAAGGAAAGAAGCCATGCTCATAAGCCCCCAGTCAATCCGTGCTCATAAGCCCAGCCAGGGCTTAATCCGTGTAGCAAGATTTGGCACCATGGAGGAAGGATGTAGATGGCCGTGTAGGTACCCCTCTTTCAACACCCCTCAATGTGATTTTCTGACTGATGAGGTGGGGCACCATGAGACCACTTAGAAGACATCCATCCTAAAAGCGGAATGGCTCTGAAAAGAAGGGCAGCAAGAAGCAGTGAGAAAGGCGCGCGCGCGCGCGCGCGCGCGCGCGCGAGAGAGAGAGAGAGAGAGAGAGAGAGAGAGAGAGAGAGGGGTCACAGAAGACCGTGAGATAGGTCACAGAAGACCGTGAGATCAGGCGCGAGCAATGTCTTTTCTCTATCCGTTTTGTGGACACGTTCGCAAACAATGTGCTATTTCGCCGACATAGACAGGGTGTGTGGCTGCCTGCAGGTGGGGTGATGACCTTTCATAAATTTGGAGGGGGGAGGTGGTTGTGCGTGCATTGCATACTCAGACTTCGGAGATTCTGGAGGTAATGATGATCAGACTTGGCCGATTCTGCCGTGCCTGGGCTGTGGGAGTTACTCCACTGCTTCTTATGGGTAGCGCAGCAGCATTCTCCTGGCATGAACCGTGATTTCACAGAAGACTATGGACTGGTTGTGTCCGTTTCAAAGCTCATTCCACGGAGTGGGGCTGTTTTCTGTGCGGTCAT